ACTGATGTAAGCCTAAAAAAGTGTAAATTACAGTGTCATGCGCGAATGAAATAAGCATGGCAGAAAACTAATACCATCGTCATCTAAAATCCACTTCCACCGAAAAGTAGGAGTATTTATAGGCAGATAAGATGACAACGCACTGCCGATAGCAGACAAATGTTAGCGAAGCAATCGAGGGCTCCTTCTTCCAAAAATGCAATATCTTTCCAAAACTTTTTTTAGAGATCGGGATCGGCTACTAATTCACTGCTTCGTTTCAACCATACATTTGGCAATTAGTTGTTTTGACTATACATTGCTTGGTGGTCAGACTGACGATGGCCCTGCTGTTCATCCGCTTTTCGAAAGGATTATTGGTCGCAACGGTTCATTCGACAGAAGTACTCGGTTTTCGAGATATCTCTGATGTGCTGACTGTCAATAACCCTTCTCAAGTATTACCAAATCTACACAGTGATGGGGTATCCTATAGACTGGGAGAAATCTGAGAATTATTTTTTTTAAAAATTTTGCAACCCTTCGAGCTTGCACGACTTTTGGTTGCATATCATTGAAGAAATCTGGTTCATTTTCAGTTGGTGAGTGCTGCTGCTGCTGCTCCGCTTTCTTTCGTCGATATTCGTCAATTTTCTCCTCCACCACATTCACAAATGGTGTGCTACTCCAGCCTTGCCACTGATCTTCGCCTGAAGGAAAGTCCGGAAAAAAAATCACAAAAGTGAGCCATCATAAAGAAATCATGCACCGTATGAGCTACTGCTGTCTTCCAAAACGTTATGAGAGTAGAAATATACGTAATACAGCGAACTGTAAACAATCAAAACAAGCCTTTGCGCACTATTAACTAAAGCTGGCCACATCTCATTTTTCTAAATTTTGAAAAACTTTAGACCCTTAAACTCACTGGGTCCCAGTCTACTACTAAGGTTTTTGCATAATATATGCCCGAAACAAAATCTAAATTGTAACAAAAACAGGAAAAAGAATCAAGGCGCTAAATTCGCAGAAAGCAAAGAAGACGTTTTCAGTTAAACCCATCTCCTCAAACAGTTTTTGGAAGACATTACTGGATAAAATCACGTAACTAGAGTAACTAGACTGCTGTAAATCTCAGAGCATAAGCCATGATCATTTTCATCAACAATCCCTTGTTTATTGGAATAATTTGTGACAACGTGGGTGGCCCATTCTCGATTCGTTTAGCTAGAAGCATGTACAGAAGAAACAGTGCTACTTAGACAAACTTTGGGGAGAAATGTGCAAAAAACAAAAAACTTAAATTTTTCCACTGCAACAGAGAAAAGACTATAAAACTGACAAATATTCCAGGCAAATAAAGCACGAAACACCCAGTGACTATTTAAAGAGGTCGAGGAATTTGCCCACAAAGAAATACCCGTAGAAATACCCGCTAATGCTCTTTCAGATGAGTTTTTGTGATAATTTATTATGCGCAAGCATCAGCAAAAAACACAGGAATTTTTCGAGTTTCATTTTTACAGCGATACAAACCTGTCTTCTGGTACGCATGAGTATGCTGGCGATCACGTTGTGAAACAGTATATGGCAATTCTCCAATATTTTTCCGACGTTTGCAACAATAAAATATT